ACCAGTACTGACCTGATCAACAGCAAACAAGTGTTGTACACTGTAGGGATACATGTGATCTGTTCCTTCATAGTTCTTCATGTAGTTTAGTTGTCTGGTGTAGGAGAGAGAATGAGTGCTCCATATCACAATCGCTCCATCCAGTGAGGCAGAAGCAATCATACTATCTAGAGCACAAACCACAGCAGTTAGACAAGCTCRCAATTTTTGTTGTTGCAAATGTAATAAATATTAATAAGAAGACCTACAGGCTAGCTTAGCTTGGTGTATTGTACCCATATTCACATTTATTCTCATATGTTAATTTTAAACAAGGAAATGATGCCCTAAGGAATGACATGTGGTATGACATGGGAAAACATTACGCCCAACCTACAGGTATGTTAAAAGTCACAGTGTTACGTAGATTAATAAGAACACATTTATCCCAACATAAGCAGTGTCAAGGTTGTAATCTAATACTTCAGTTTCAAGTTCTCTGTTGCTCAGGCTTAGTCTCATTTTTGTGCAGACTATTCAACATGCATTCCAGTGAAGGTCTGTGGAATTTCAAAGTGTTTGTATTGTTGAAGTTGTACATTTTTTACTTTACTTTTGGTATTTGTGAATATTTAGACACTGATAGAAGGCTAACCTGAGTAAATGAGAATGTAACTCAAAAATGCTATCCAGAGACCTGAATGAGTCATTGTTACTTGATATATGTRTTACATACCTGCAACACTGATCAAACACCTGATGGACTCCCTGTGTGGTGAGAGCTTCTTGAATGGCTCAATTCTAATGTTGGAGGAGTCTTTAGCATCAACAGGTGACCTCACTATACAGTACACCACTACAAATTCAAAAGAGGAGTCAAAAATACCATCATCAATCAAAACCATAGGTTAAAAATACCTAAGTAATTAAATGAAGTAGTTTGGAAAAAGGTATTAAATGGTCCATTTCCACTTAAAATGGACAACATGGTTAAAGGGCAACTGTGGGAGTGCCGTGGCAATGTTTTCTTTACAAGGGAAGGTTGAACACTGTAAAGTAGGGTAATGCAGATTACAATTGAAATATTAGTGGAAATGAGCTGCAGTTCAGTATAATTATGTCAGAGCTCATTTTCTGTTGGCTTAAATCCAATGTGGTCGTTCCTTGTAGTGTAGTGTTAACACATCAGATTACAACAACAAAGACGTGTTTGAGTTCTCCTTAGGGCATACTATAGTATATTTTGACTCTTATTTTTCACTTCAATCATTGCACCAAACAACACCCATTTCTACAAATAGAACATGATGTTACATACTCAAAGATGATTTATCTGAAGCTGTTACAATCCTGCTGTTCTTGATGGGTAGCATGGTATGGATATCAGCTACAAAATACAGCAACACATGTTCTTATCAATTCTGGTGGGCATACAGCCTAATTAAATTACTCATTTTCCAAAGTTCAATCTTGTTTGTATTTTGAACCAGCTTATAAGCTCTTGGACGATATGTGTTTAAATAAATTATTGATTGATTGATTGATTGGATGACTAGTACTGGTAACCCTGGTAAATGTCTAGAAGACTGTGGAKGTGAATTTGGGAACATTATAGCGATACTTCATCATTCATATGCCAATGAGAGATTGATTGTCTAGTGACACTAAGCAACTTGTGACAAGCTTTCATGGAAATGGCCAGCATACAGCTGCTGTATTGACGTTGCAATATGGTTTTGCTAGTAAACATGAAGTATTACTATTTTCACTGGTCAAACTCCAACC